CTAGCAAGCACGACTAACTTTGCTTTTCGGTTCAATTAGCTTGACGAAAAAATTATATAGTAAACGATCACAACTCAATATTCAATCATATTATTATTTATTTTTTCCAAATTACATACTTAAACTTACTTTACTATGTGAAACTTCATTACAATTAAAAGGAAAGAAAAAACTTTAAATATTACTCTTAAAGTATAAATAAAAAACAAATAGATACATACTTTGAAATTCTGTAGCATCCACGTTAGCTAATAATAATTGAAAATCCAAATTCGGTTCATAAAATAGTTTTTAACAGTTCCACAGAGACACTTTTTCGCTTAAATCACGCACTTGTATTGTTAGACGCGGAACTGAGCGCTTGGCGCTTGTACGTCGCCCGAACGACAAAGTTGCGGCGCGGACAAATCGCGACTGAAAACATCCGCGCGTCGCAGCCGCCTGTGCCCTCACCTTCCACTGGTAAGGTCAATGTCAGCTCTCAATCTATCACCAGCTCTCCTGAACGTCTTGTCTTGTCTTGTCCACTTCCTTATCTAGTTGATATCTTGTAAATAAATGACATAGGTATATCATTTTCACATATTTTGGTGTATTAACAATACACAAAAAAATTTTTGGTTATTCTCATTGAAATCTCAAATCATAGTGCAGCATATTTTTGTAGCTCATAAAGATTTTTTGTGTGACGATATACTTAATAAAAAAATAGCTTTTAATCACAACTGGAATCAAACAGAAACTTTTGTATGGAATTATAAAAGTTACCAAATGTTTTATTGTGTGAAAAATGATTATTAAATGCGTTATGAAGGACAAATCTAGGAAACATTGATTTCAAAGTGCATACTTATTTCGTTGACAGTGTATCTATCGGTTCTAATGTAGAAAAAATTGACTGCCTGAACTCAACATCTGAAGATTCCTTGATCAAACAAATATTTTAAATATTTTTTTCTATTTGACTACTACTACTACTACTAATAAGATTGATATTATGGCAAAAATAATAAGAATCAGAAAGGTGTATAAGTAATTTAAGCTTAAAGAGCACAATTATGAATTACTTGTAGGTACGCAATTACTTTATAATTCGGGTAACATAGATCTACATAGATATAAATAATCTATTTAACTCTCCATTTTAAAATCAAATATTTGCTTTAATCTTTACTTGTAGATACAGAGAGAACTTTTAAATATACATATAATATTGAACAATTTACTGTCCGTTTGTTAACTTACTATGTCTTTGAAATCGTTACAGTCTAAGTCGATGTACACTGAAAAGACATCAAAGGGCTTGTCTGTTCCCTATTTATTACATTTAGAATATCATTTAGATAATAATCTAAATAATATTTATTGAAAATCTTACCTTTCTCAAAATCTCGATTAACCATCAATGTCGCTCATAATATATCTTAAAATATCGGCAGAAGTGCATGTATTCCATGTAAGATACTCCTGAGAATAGTTAAAACTTAGATTTAAATTGTGCACCAATCCAAGTCGAAAGAAATTATATTACATTTCAATAATAATGTTATATTGCGCCATATACGTAGTAATTGGAGTGTCCACCTTACCTATAGGACTACAAGAGCTTAGACTAACAAATAAGGCGTGACATACCTAATGTTGATAATAATTTTTAAGCCATGTAAATTAATGTAAATTTTGAATACATAGTGTTACTTAATTTTCACGTAGTCATATAAATTTCAGATACGTTAATATTGCCAACACGATTGGTGCGACAATACAATGCACGTAGGTATTATCAGCAGTGTTATTAGTTAACATTGTACCTAAAAATTATATCTGTTATCAGGATTGTTAACTATATGCTGACAATATTATGTTGTGTTGTGGTTACCCACAGTCTCAGCAGCAGCTACATATATGTATGTATAAATATAATGGTGTACAAAATACAAATACTTATTGTCCATGTTTACTCCTTTCAAGTACCAACGGCAAGTACCAATGTGACTTTTTCCGAGTTATATGTACTTTCTAAGATTATTTAGACACCACTGACAAACGGTGAAGGAAAAACATCGTGAGGAAACCTGGACTTATAATTTCTAATTATAAGTTTGAAATCGCCAACCCGCATTGAGCAAGCGTGATGATTAATGCTTTGCTCAGCAGTGGGCATTTATAGGCTGTTGATGATGATGACTCCTTTCAAGTTAGTATAAGCATTTATTTACAATAATATAATGACTTTGCATATGCGTCTCCAAATCTCTACCAACTTTGTATAACATATTTTAAAACTTTGCACCTGTGTTATGTAATATTATGTCACAGATTTATCGAAGATTTAATATTCTTTCAGTAGAAACAACGCGGGTTCAGTTTATTAAATAAGATTGCAGCACAAACCGTTATTCATACCGACTCTGAATGGAATAGTACCCGCTCGATTCGAGCATATACACCGCAGTTATGCATGGCTCATAAAGGTAACCGAGCGTGAAGATATTAAAGTTCAAATCAATAATTCCTACTGTTCCTCGGTCCTCGGTTCTTAGAAAATTGAAAGACGGTAAGTGTATGCCATTTTCGCCTTTAAGGAAAACAAATAATTTTCCAAGAAACACTGAGAATCGATATAATATTTGTGAGTTTACAGCTTTTGGTCACTAGATAACAAACATGTAGAATCCAAATTCGTTACAGTTCAGTAAATAAATTCATTGAAAACTTTACCTAAATTGTTAAAATGCGAAAGGTGTAGTATTATGTAACCAACCGCAAATCCAAATTTTGTGAAAATACTAATCTGTACGTTTGAAAACCCTACAAAGCCCTAAACAGAAAACAGACTTTCATTAAGCCTCTTTATAATTCTCGTCATAAGTCAAAATACATCCAATACTGAATAAAATGTCTAAAGGGGGTTCGGGCTTACTATAATCCCCATGCTTGGCAGGCAACTTGGAGATCTACATATCTTCAAAAGTTTAGTTAGGTACTTAATTTACTCATGTCTCTAACGTCATATCAATTTAATTTTTCAATCAAGAAAAAGTTCCACTCAAATGTTTTTTTCGAAACAACCGTTTAAAAAACTCTTTTAAACTGTCAAACACCAAGCGGTCACCGGTGACCGCGACCGGAAAACCGGTACTCGACGAGTTAAGTACTCAACTTTTATTAATTCATATCTTCTTTACCTACAGTTCGAAGTTTTCAAAAATGTTTTAGAATTCGGAGCCTACATAAATTATAAGTAAAGCCATACTTAGTTTTTGATGAACATGCTATATCTGTGTATAAAGTGACTCTACGGTTCGTAGGCCGATGTAATAGGCTGTGGACCACATCATGAATATTATAATTTAGACGACTGTTTACTGCTGTCTCCGAGATATTATATTCAGTCTACGTTCAATAAATGTGAGACCTGCGAACGGGTAGCTTATTCTTTATTTAATCTTTCTCTATATCACATTACGTAAAAGTTGTGTGTCTTAATGGTATCTAAATAATATGGTTAAAAGATACTCATGATTGATGAAACCACAAGCAAAGCCTCCTTCTTCCTGAGGTAGCAACGATCTTACAATTTTTCTTGTGTTGCAGATATCGGGTTTTTCACCAACTCGACACGAGGAACTGATCACACGTGTGTCCAGTTGGTGAAACTTTAAATTAGCACTAATTATTCTTTCGTCATTTGGACACGCCAAGGTTTTTATGTATGTCCACATAGTGAAAATTAAAATTAATTACTTTTATGTTATCGTCAACTGGACACACCTATATTTTTTTTCTAAAAAAGGTACAGTTAAGTTAAAAATTGTTTCGGTTTTAAGACAAATTTTGAAATAAAACAAATGAGTAACAATCATATATTTATATTAGAGTTAGACTCAAAGACTGTAATAAAACAGGTTCCATGTTGAAGATTTGACAAGCATAGTACTCGTAACATGGTAATAGCTTTTCAAACACTTTCGGTGTCAAAATATATTTTTTACAAATTCACAAATGGTGAATAATTACAAAATTACCCGGTGAAATTACTAGGTGGGACGTTTAGAGGACAACGATGATTGTGATTCAAAAATATTATCTGCGTGACTGTACTTTGTTATACATTCGGGTAAAATGTGAACGTGTGTCCAGTTGACGAAAACACAAAAGTAACTTAATTTGATTTTCACTATGTGGACATACATAAAAACCTTGGCGTGTCCAAATGACGAAAGAATAATTAGTGCTAATTTAAAGTTTCACCAACTGGACACACGTGTGATCAGTTCCTCGTGTCGAGTTGGTGAAAAACCCCAGATATCCATGGGCGATGCTGAACACTTACCATTCGTCCATCAATCTACTCGTAAGTCTCCCATAAAAACCTCCAACACATCGTAGTAAAATTTATTTAAATTCTTGTTTGCAGAACTCTAAAATCTGCATTATGAAGAAACTTGCTTAAAAAAGATACAAATGTATGTAGGTATAAAACATAAATAATAAATGCCGACATTGCAAATTAATTTACATGTAATAATAAATATATTTTTTTTATGACAAACATAAATATCCTGTTGTGACCTTTATTTTTTGTATAGGTACTCTTGTTTCCTAGAAATAATTATTGTGCTTGACGGTGTTGATAAAAATATATGCATATAAAATTACTAGCTTTTACCCGCGGCTTCGCCCGCGTCACAAAAGAACAAAAAGTAGCCTATGTGACATTACCAATACACACAGCGCCATCTATACCAATACTTTTGTTTTTCCTCGGGAATATCAATTTTTCCATTTCCGTTATTTAATCCGGACTTCTAACTTTACGTCTGCAAAAATTCAAAACAATCGGTTGAGAAGTTACGGCGTGAAGGTGGAACAAACAAACAAACTCACTTTCAGATTTATAATATTAGTAAGGATAAGGATTCTATACTTATTAATTGTGTTTGACTTAAATCAGATGCTTATGAAACCTTTGTTGTACGTAGAGGCTACTGTAACCGTTCACAGGCCTCCAGTTACCTCAGTCACACGACGAAACACAACGCAAGCGTTGCTTCACGTCGGTTTTCTGTGAGGCCGTGGTATCACTCTCCCACAATTTAAAGCAACTTAACATTGCTTTATATCAATTACTTAAGTATCCTAAGTTACACGTGTATTTTTTTACTATAGCTACTCGAGCAATTTCAACGCTAGTTTTAGTAACATTTTCATATTTAGTTTTTAGAATAAATAGACAAACAGGTTCTCCTAAAATGATTCTGTCGATTAAGACTATTGATGCGTATACTAAAGTTAATTCAAGCTGACATTACCTACGTAGAAAATCCAACCTTATGGGTACGAAATAAAGGCCCAGGAAAATTACATCGGACATATTATTGGTCAAGTGTGCGTAATAATATTCTTTAAACTGAATTATTGATGGGATTTCATTTGCTAAAATGCTGCGTCGAGTGATTTATGATGTTTTACAAAGTAGGTACTTACGATTATTTTTAACTCTACTTACATCATGTACCTACTGAAATAAATACTGATCAACTTAATCTCTTTTTATTTTGATATAAAAGCTTCGTAAGGAGTGGAAAATTTTCGAATCACAAATAAATTTAATTTGGTTAACTGAAATTGTTGATATCATCACGCCTCTGAAGAGGTTGGCAGAGGTGCACATTATGCCACTATACAATGTAACTCCCACTTTTCACCGCTATGTTATGATTTCCCATGTAATAGGGGGTGAGCCTATTACCATATACCGGGCACAATTCCAGACTCCGTGCTACTACTGAGAACTTTTAAAAAACCCAGTAATACTTTGCCCGACCCGGGAATCGAACCCAAAACCCCTTGCCCTGCAGTCACACTTGCGACCACTTGGCCAACGAGGCAGTCGTATTGATTTACAAAATTTATATTAAACGACAATATTTTGTTCTCTGTGTCATAATCTACGTGTATTAATGTGTAAGATAGGTATTCTTTTAGAGGTAGAATTGCAACGCATTTTGTATAATTGTCTTATATTTCTGGAACATTTCTGAAAGTACAAATGACATTAAAATCCTACTAGTGAAATTGACGAACAATTTTGGATATGACTGTAAGCGATTAAGCCGATTTAGACCTAGTAGTTAACGTATTCGACACAAAGCCAGCTACAACACGCCGCCGTGAGCTGGCTACTGTTAGCTTCGCCTACGCCTAACATGGTCTATTTCAATGACGTGACGTGACGTAGCTATCACGTCAAACAATTCACGCTGCATTCGTAGCAGATAATGTTCGCTACGAGTTTTGTCGATGTAAATATACGGCACGTGTAACGTTATTGTCAGATTTATGCAATGTTTTGTAATTATTTATGTTTATTCAGTTGGCAGATTAATTAATTCCGCCTATAATTGTAATTTACAAAAATTATCGAGATTTATATCAACAGATATAAGATATATCGGTGGACAACGAATTAATAAGTAGTAGCTAACTATAACATACCAGAAACAACAGTGTTGATACATATTAATTTTCATATAAACAATATTAGCAAATCCGAGTGTTATAAAATACAAATACACGTTGTCCGTTCTTAAGCACCTACTAAAAAGTCCACTTCGTTGCTATAGCGGCATTAAAATAAATTGTATTTTATCACCGCATCTATTGTCATCGTCACGTCACGAGCCATTTTGGAGAAAATATTATATTTCCGATATAAAAGAAAACTTTTATAAGCTTTAACAAACAAATTGTTCTGTGGAAATTTTCGCTTTAAAGATCGCCCGGACGTTGAGTTCCCGGTAGGTTTTGGGTACATATCGAGTCTATTGAAGTGTTAACAGCAAATTTCCACATATCATATTTCCCAGAACTGTATCGAGGTTAAAGTTATAGGTAAAGCTCGTATGATACTGTACACCTTCTTTATATGTTCTGTGGTACTACCTATCACACATTCCGTCTTCCTATTCCCTGAAGGATTAGTTTTTATTATGATTTGTGGTAAGAATTCCGTATAGGTATTAAGTGGAGATAATGTACACAACGGACTATTTCTGGATCCGTGCAATCGACAATCTTAATAAAGCTTCTTCAGCCAAAACGTGGGCATCGATTACGAAATCCGTTGCTCAGCAGAAGTGATTACAATGTTGTACGTGATGTACCAGGAAATCTTGTAGACTCATATTTTTGTGAATTATAGTGAGATTTTTTTTAAGGGGGAAATATCAATGAATGACTGCTCCCGCCTAGGTGAGGCGGGAGGGAGTGTCAAACTCTTAATGACTAAAAACTACACCTTTCCTTCTCCTGCACGTCGAGCCGGAGCCCCGGTTACCCGTTAGGTTTTCCGCGACTCCAATTATAGTGAGATTATAGGTGTACAGTTGCTTTCTAAATGTTGGTTAGAATTTTACATAAAATGGGCTTAGGTATCGAATTTTCGAACCAGTAAATTATTTGGTGTAGTCGTCAGCTTGTACGTGTTCAATGGTATTCGACTCAATGAGTTGGGATCCAGGATTCTGCATTGTTGGAACTTTACGTGAAACTGGAAATTATACCACTTTGTGTTCAACAAGTAGTATTTAGAGCTCCCCTATTAACATTAAGTTTTCACACCTGTTACCACTTAAAGATACCTATGTAACTTACTTACACTACATGAACATATTTAGTTTAATATTGTAATAAAAACTTTAGCCCAATTTTTTGTCACTTGCTGATCAGTGTACTAAAGTCTAGAACTTTACACTGTTACATATTAAAATGTTTAATAAATTATGGTAATACAAGCAAATTCACAAATCCGATCTCATAATTTACGCATAATTTATTACACACATTTTTACGAACAATAATTGTGTGCGTAAATTAAAAATAGTTCGTGGATAGAAACAAGACACATCCGCGTCGAGTCCACGATCAATTTTCAGGAAGTCGACAAAAATAACATTACATTGGACTGTCTATCGGAATTATTCCGTCACCGTATTCATCCAGACAAAATAAACTATTTATAAGAGATATTCTTTCAACACTATAGAAGATATACGAGAATAAACACAGTTTTTCTGTAAAAGTTTGAAGGTCGCCACTTTCCAAAGCAACCATTGACTGACAATGTTGAAACATATGTACTTTACTATCATGACTTTATTAAAACATCTCTTTATGCTATTTATTAATTCACCATGCTCTTTTCCATATTCTTTCTTCCTTGTATCAGCTACGTTATAAGTCTGTTATGTTATGAGTCGTTACGAGTGACTCATAACTGCTCATAACATAACTAAATTAATATTATGTCTCACGAAAGTTACAATACAGATAGATAACATAACTGGTATACACATATGCTTACCTTTTCAAAGGAGAAAAGACGTTATGTTCTGGACATATTCTGAAATGACCCTGTAAATACATGATATAAAGACCCAGTAATTAAAAAAAAAAATTACAAACTATACGCAATCATTTAATATGTTGACCCTTTTTACCACAAGCCGGACCTACAAGAAGTACTACTGGGCTATTCTGTAGCTTTCAATTCGTGAGATCGAAATGAACTCGATCGTAGTCCGCCATGTCCCCGAGCGTACGGCGCGTCCCGAGCGTACGGCGCGTCGCATTCCGCGCGCAATCGGGCTGATGCCGATTCGGAGTCGCGAAGAACCTAACGGGTAACCGGGGCTCCGGCTCGATGTGCAGGAGAAGAAAAGGGGTGGTTTTTAGTCAGTAACAGTCTGACACTCCCTCCCGCCTCACCCAGGCGGGAGCAGTCATCCGATGACTTTCCCCCTTAAAAATAAAAAAGTCCACCATGTCATTGGTTCATCAATCGGAAACATTTCCCGTCTTCCAAAACTTGATATTTATAACAGAAGTTACTTTTATTTAATGCTTTACTTTTTTAAATATTAAAGTTGTTACTGACTAACATTAGTCCTTAATGTTTTGAAATTCCTAATGAATTATTCATTAATTTAAAATACGGTGAAATTCGAAATCAGCTTTTTGATATCTGTTTACGAAATGAGTTTACATTTAATTATGTTAAAGATTTCTCTTAATATTTAATTTTTTTATTAGATAGCAATTAAATTGTTTGATTCAGAAACAAAGTGGGTATCGTATTTATTCAAATAAGCAGAAATACTGAATCTGTACGATTCAAAAACTATATTATACCTATCTGTGATGTGTTTATCGGCTAGACATAAAACAAAGATAAGCAAAATAGCTTATTACGAACATAATTCAATGAACTGTTCAGTGAAGCATTTTGAGAACAACCACCTTTGTCAACCTCACATAACATGCATAACGCGTCGCGCTCATATAGATAGAGTTACCATAATTTTCCACAAAGTCGTTGCCAGGAGGAAAAATTGTTCGAAAAACCTAAATGGAAAAGCATGAAAATAAAAATGTTTCAAATTCTCATAGATCATGGGGCAAATGTTTTGAGAGTATGAGAGGTAAGGTCAACGACCCAGCTATTAACTTTTTCGTAAACCTAAAAAAAAAATATAAATAGATCAAGAGTTCCAGGAAAAACAGTCATTGAATAGGAATTATCGAAGAGATAATGGCAAACTGCGAACTGAAGTGCTGTTTCAAAGAACGCCATGCCTGATGCCATAGCCGTGGCCGTGCCGTAGCCGTGGCCGTGCCGTAGCCGTGGCTGTGCTGTAGTCGTGACCTAGCCGTACTTTGTGCCATGGCCTTTGATCATAATAAAAACTGGAAACTGAAGTCTATAGACCTGATTCCAAATTGTACAAAATTAAGAATATAAGTTAAAGGACGTCACTCATTATAATTACTGATTTATATGTCGTCACTTAGTTAATACGATATAAGTTATCACACTAAAAACCTTGTGTCCATCATTATCAAGTTATCGTAAAGACTACCTACTTTAAGTGCATAAAACCTCAAAACCAAAATATTAAATTATTTGTTATTAATAATTTGTGTCATTTTTAAGCAAATGTATGTACATATTTATTTACTTTGAATTATTGCAAATTATGATTATTAACATAGAACTTACATCATAAACGGTACCCAATGATAATGTTATGCCTTAACGCGTGTTGCGTAAAATTAACTCATTATAGTAAATATCTCGGTATGTACCTACGTTATGTTTCATAATTATGTGCATTTTGGTTTTTAATCACTTTATTTTTAGTCAAATATGCTTAAACATAAATATGAATAGTGGATATTATAGTTATTATTGACGTCAAACCGATACGCATAAGTTGACACGATGAGTCGTGGCGCCACTGATGCGTAATAAATTATAAAATGTTTTATTTCAAAAAGTTTTATTTTTCCGCATATTATTTGTGAAGGATGCATACATTCGTTGAATGACGCAATATGGACAGTTACCAGGACTGAGTCTTATATGTCTCCAATGAAAAAAACATCCAGTAAAAGCGATATTTTATATTCTTACCTAACCTACCTAATGTTCCTTGCAAAAAAAAACATAGTGTGTAAATGGAAGGCAGACAGACAAAAAATGTTTTATCTTAGTGTTACCTCTATTTCCTAGAAGTTTCCAGGTAAGAAAAATTGTATTATACTTTTTGTTAATAAATTGTTTTCTACTACTTCTACGTAGATAATGAATTGTAGAAAAAACATCACCATATAGCGCTACTAGGTTGTGAAAATGGTGAAAGTTGTGGTTGGACGTCCTAGTACCTTATTTAATTTAGGTATTTGTTACCCAAAAGTATACATTAGTTATTTAAACTTTGGTATATATGGGATAACACTTGTTGATTCTTGGATTTCATTTTATCATACACCCTAATTCTGTAGGCGTTAATAACCTTGATACTTTATTAATATCAAGTAGTAGGCACACATTGAGAGCAAATTGGTTTCATTAGAAGAACCTTTTCCATTTGTGATTAACGGTTATAACGTCACCACAAATAAATGTATTGTAATATTTGTTTTATTCGCATATTGCCAATTAAGCCTTTAACTGTCGATAGAATCTGTTTAAAGCTGATCCTCCACTAGCGTCGGACATCATTGTACGACACGGCATCCAATGTGTTAACAAACTATGATACATCGTAGGTGCATATCTGGATACTGCATAGTGCATAATATGGTTTTTTAAATTATTAGGAATATCCTCATCCAATTTAAAAAACCATATTATAGTACTTATAATACTTTATATAGATTAGACAATTGATCCCTATATGTACTTACAAGAATCAATCAGTAACAGCTCCCAAGTAAACCAATAGAATACTAATACGTAAAAATCGTTCTACAACCTAACCCTCTCGGATTATTCATATAGAACTCTTCAATACATCGAAGTACCTCTAAGTTGTTAGTGGACTTCACAACAATAGCAGCTTATTTAATTGGGATGATGACAGAGTATGAAAATTAAAAATCTAATTAGTCCGTAAGTTAGGTAATGAAAAAATATTAGACGCGTATTTTTTTATTTTGTCGTATAGGTAATAAAACAATACTTAGATAAAACGAATCAAAGTTTTTGGTGTGGGGTCTAAAACGTCATTTTTACGTATAAAATGTACATAGAAGTGACGTCACGTGACATTTCAAATCAATATATCGTCGAAAGTATTCGTTTCTGTAAGAAAATAAAAAATACGTGTCTAATAATGTAAAATAATCTACCAGACGGACGTTAAAATAAAAATTAGGCATCTTCCCTATTCTTAGCAGATTTACTTAATTTTCACTGCAGGGTTAGTGCGGTGGCTGGGAAACCGGCTGCCGTGCAACGTTTCGCGGGTTCGATTCCCGCACGGAACAACACTTTGTGTGATCCACAAATTCTTGTTTCGGGTCTGGGTGTCATTGTGTATGTGAATTTGTATGTTTGTAAACGCACCCACGACACGGGTGAAAATCCTAATGTGGGGCAACTATTAACAAAAAAAATATGCATGCAGTTAAGAAAAATATTCCTCTACATGGCCAGTAAGGATGCACAATATTAAAATAATATTGAGCAGCCTTCATCATCATACAATCATACGTCAGATTCTATCTAGATCTTTAGACACAGTGCATTTACTAAAATGATTTGTTTGACTGGCTGAATAAAAAACATAATTGATGATAATGTTTGGAAATGATCTCAAGATATGATGAAATTAACATCATCAGCTTGAAATTCACGTCGCGTGATCATACCAATGAAATAGTAATTTAGAAGTTATAATATGGCCGTTAGACTCCATCAACAGTTTAGTATTTCTTGCTAAAATTAGGTACTAGACCTTGTACAGTACAAGTCGATGTACCTAAACTGTGCCTACAGCAA